AACCAGTATTTTTGCCCCTTCCCAAAATTACTTAAACGAAAGGTTTCCAGATGGATATGCAGAGCAAATCCATCTGGCGGAGTCAGGTTAGAATAGCGATGGAATGATGAAAAAGGGGTCCCTATGTCCTCCGGCAGTCTAAGCCTATAGCAGCATAACTATAGAGCAAAACGCTGTATTGGTGCGCATGGATGCCCAGGATGCCAAACGGGAACAGCCCAGAGAAAGCTACTATGAGAAACAGAAGACATAAAAGGTTTAAAGAAAGATTTGTTTTTTTTGCTCCGCAAATCCATCTGGCGGAGTCAGGCTAAAGAGGACCAACATTGCACAGGATTGTGCTAAACGCAGCTATGTACATATATGGTCCGTTAGCTGCCCTGGTTCTGCATCAGTCACACCCACCCTGCATCATGCTTCTATAAGCCGTGTCTGTGATGGCGTAGATATGCGGAGGCATTTCGTGCCTCTTCTTGCCCTTGTACATATTGACGATTTCCTCGCTGTAGATGGGGAGGTTCTTGTAGGGGTTTATCACCACGCAGAAGAGACCCGAGTATGTCTGGGGGGGGACAGGATGTAAGGTTAAAACTCAGGTGGAAGTGTTGATTTCTGCATAAAGCCGAAAGACTCCCGTCCACTCACATAGATGAGTCCAGAGTAGTATCTCTCCTTAAGGTTGTGCAGGACGGAGGCCTCATTCAGGCAGGTGAGCTCAGCCATATCCTCCACCTTACTGAACTTGGGGGGGTTCATTTTCTGGATGTCATCCTTATTCACCTTCACCTGGGGGTTCACAGAAGCTGAAGTGAAAAACACCGAACAGTTTGGACTTGGAATGCACAAAGCCATTTCAGAGTTTTACCTTCTTGCCAGAGTCGGCCAGCTCCACCACGCACTCATCTCCCTTCTCCTCTTTGAGCGAGCCGGCCTCAAAGCCCTGCTTCTCACTGGGGATCCAGACCAGTTTCTTGGAGGCCCAGTCGGCCTGGGCCAAAGGGTCGTTTACGCCGCCACGCTGCCCGTACAGGAACTGTTCAACGTCCGTCATGGTGACTTAAGATGAAAGAAAACATTCATTAGGAAACTCATTTGCAGCCAGTTGTTTTGATTCGAGCAGATAGCTTTGTTGTGTAGCACAACTATGCATGTTAGACAGGGCATGTGTGTTCTTGTACCAATCCTGAAACCCCTGCAGCGTTATTTCAGTCTGAAATTTATGAACTCTCAAAATCTTCATGAACAAAAGCAATTCAAGATAAATTGAGCCTGTGTACATTTATCATAGTATCGTGTGCCTGTCATTAAATAACTGTGCATGCCTACAATTGGTCAAGAAGACAAACCAATGAAGAGTGAGAGCAGAACTCCCAGTGTAGCTGCAAAAAAAACAACAAAACATGTCCAATATCAAATGTTAAAAAGGTACAAGAAGAGGTTTGATTCCAAGAGGGATAAAAACTTAAGCTTCCCCGGGGAAAAAACCTGATCATTAGAGTTAACTAAAGCTTAGGAAGCATTCGAATGTTGCTGTAAATATGCCGATGAAGCTTCTGGACTTAGTTTCCAAGTTTGAAGACATTTTGGTTTCCCATCCAGGAAGCTTTATCAATAAATATCAGAACTGGTGTCAAGTTCGAGGCTTTATAGAGTAACCAAAGCAAAACATGCAAAAGCAATCAAAAGATTACTAGGAAAATGTTAATATCAATGGGATTGTTGTACTTTGTCTAGTTTAGTGGCGTTTTGTTGACCCTGACATGTCTGCCCTTTGGCATGTGGATCTGGTTGGTTGTGCCCGTTGGCTGCAGAGATCCAAACAGATCCACTGCACTGCCAATAATGGAATACATTTTAATGATTTTTGCATCAGACTGCCAGTTGCCATTATCCTTTAAGATTCTGTGTTCTTGTGCCAACTAAGAGTTATCCCATGTGAGGAAGGTTGGTGCATACATCATTTAGCTTGCTAGCTTCCATACCAAACCATACTCCCACAGGGTTAGGACATCTTTAAAATACAAGCATTGAAACCATTAGCATTTGCCTCACAGAACTTCACCACAAAAACTTTGGCCTGGCCTTTTTCCAGTGTAGTCCTGTTTCTCTGACTGTGACTAACTGGATGTGCTCTCTTCATCCTCTGACATGGGAGCTGGCTTGGGGCTTGACTGCATGGTTGTGTGTTTTCGGACAGTTGCTTTTTCTATGTCTGCTTCTGTCTCCTTGAACCCCAGTGGGCCTCAGCAGATGGCCGCTCACACTGAGCCTGGTTCTGCTGGAGGTTTCTTCCTGCTAAAAGGGAGTTTTTCCTCTCCACTGTCGCTACAAGCATGCTTAGTGTGAGGGATTGCTGAAGAGTCAATGAGT